CGTGGTGGTGCAAGGAGCAGCCGTGGTGGTGCAAGGAGTGTTAGTGGGCTTGTGGGTAGGACGGACGGTGGTCGCACGAGTAGTCGTGGGGGTGGCCGGCATCTTGGTCGTAGTGACAGGCACTTTGGTGGTGGTGGCCACTGGAGTATACGTGGTGGTCACTGGGGAAGAGGTGAGGGTCACTGGGGAAGAGGTGGTGGTCACTGGGATCGTGGTGGTGTATCCAGGGGTAGCCGTGGTGGTCACTGGAGTGGCCGTGGTGGTCTCAGGAGTGGCTGTGGTGGTCACTGGAGTGGACGTGGTGGTCACTGGAGTGGACGTGGAGGTCACAGGAGTGGCCGTGGTGGTCTCTGGAGTGGCCGTGGTGGTCACTGGAGTAGAGGTGATGGACACTGGAGTGGAGGTGATGGTCACTGGGTTCGTGGTGGAGTCGCCAGGAGTGGCTGTGGTGGAAGAAGACGTTGTCGTGGTAGCACCAGGAACAGTGTTAGCCGGGGTAGGAGTGGGGTAGCCAGGGGTAGCCGTGATCGTGATGACAGGGGCCTTGGTGGTATCAGCAGGGGTACCAGTATAAGGAGCTGGGGTAGTTGTGCATCCGACACCGCCCCAGTCGCATCCCCAAGCGCCCGATGGGATCTTGACACACGAGGCATCCACAGGTGCGACGCATAGATGGTGATTGTCGGCGTAGGACTTGAAATGCTTGTGGCAGTCGTTCACTGCGACATCGCCCTTCTTGGGGCAGTTGATACCACTGGGTAGGCTGCCAGACCCACTGCAGATAGGGCCAACAATGCAATACGTGGCATCGCCAACGACAGACACGTTAGTGCACTTGTCAGCAGGAGGGTTGGTGGGTACAGGGCCTTCGTTCTTGGGGATTTTGCAAGAGGGCGAAGTGGTGCCAGGAGCAGACGAGATGGTGCTAGGGGTAGCTGTGTTGGAAGCCCCAGGAGCCGCGGAGGTGGTGAAGTCGCCAGGTGTAGTAGCACCAGGAAAAGTGTTAGCCGGAGTAGGAATGGGGTAGCCAGGGGTGGTCGTCGTTGAAGCATCAGGAGCCGCAGTGTTGGTGGAGTCACCAGGAGTGGCTGTGGTGGAAGGAGCCATTGTCACGGTAGCACCAGGAACAGAGTTAGCCGGGGTAGGAGTTGGGTAGCCAGGGGTAGCCGTAGTGGAATCCCCAGGACCCGAGGTGGATGTGGGGTAGCCAGGTGTAGCCGTGGTGATAGGAGCCGTGGTGGTAGCACCAGGAACAGTGTTAGCCGGGGTAGGAGTGGGGTAGCCTGGGATAGCCGTTGTGGAATCCCCAGGAGCCGCGGTGGTTGTAGGGTAGCCAGGTGTAGCCGTGGTGATAGGAGCCGTTGTGGAAGCACCAGGAACAGTGTTAGCCGGGGTAGGAGTGGGGTAGCCTGGGATAGCCGTCGTAGAAGCAACAGGAGCCGCGGTGGTTGTGGGGTAGCCAGGTGTATCCGTGGTGATAGGAGCCGTTGTGGTAACACCAGGAACAGTGTTAGCCGGGGTAGGAGTGGGGTAGCCTGGGATAGCCGTCGTAGAAGCAACAGGAGCCGCGGTGGTAGTGGGGTCGCCAGGAGTGGCTGTGGTGGAAGGAGGCGTTGTCGTGGTAGCACCAGGGACAGTGTTAGCAGGGGTAGGAGTGGGGTAGTCAGGGGTAGCTGTCGTTGTGACAGGCGTCTTGGTGGTGACTGGGGTTCCAGTCGTCGTCACGGGTGCATTTGTTGTGGTCACGGGGGTAGCTGTTGTGGTGTATGGAATTGCCGTGGTTGTGACAGGTGTAGTTGTGGGGATGACGGGGGTTCCAGTTGTGGTGACAGGGGTCTGGGTGGTGGTGCAAGGTATCTTGGTGGTGGTGACAGGAGTAGCTGTCGTGGTGCAAGGCGTCTTTGTGGTGGTGACAGGCGCCTTGGTGGTGGTGTAAGGAGTTGCTGTGGTGGTGACAGGCGCCTTGGTGGTGGTGTAAGGAATTGCTGTGGTAGTGACAGGCGCCTTGGTGGTTGTGACAGGCGCCTTGGTGGTTGTGACAGGCGCCTTGGTGGTAGTCACAGGTGCCTTGGTGGTGGTACATGGCGCCTTGGTGGTGGTGCAAGGCGCCTTGGTGGTTGTGACAGGCGCCTTGGTGGTGG